CGTATTCTTTTGACATATTAATTATAATATTCCAGATAATTATTATATTATTCAAACACAATTTAGACACTGTAGAGCAAACAAGGCTTATCAAGCCCATCTATTAGTTTATTCGCCTAAATGTATTATTAATACCGTTTTCAAATTACACCAAAATTGAACAATCTAAAAATTAAACAATTTAAAAATCGAAGAATTGGAAAACCAAAAAATCTAAACCGAGAACTTGAAAAATCGAATATAATCGAGAAATCAAAACATCAAGGAAAACAAAAAAATTAACGGAAAATCTAGAACGTAAAAATTGAAAAATTAAAATACCTATCGAAAAATTGAAAAACCGAGAAATCGAAACATCAAAAAATGGAAAAATTGAAGAACCGAAACATTGCAAAATCTCAGAACTGAAATACTGAGAAACTGAAAAATGGAAGGAAAATTGAAAAATCGAAAAAGTGAAAAAAATCAAAACTGAAATCTTGAAAAACTAAAAAATGGAAAGAAAACTGAAGAATCGGAAAAGTGAAAAAATCCAAAACTGAAACATTGAAAAATCCAGAAATCGAACAATTGAAAAACCACAATTGAAGAAAGAATTGAAAAATCAAAAAATCAGTTAATCGAAAAATTGAAAAATCGAAAAATTTAGAAACGTCAAAAATTGAAAACTGAAAAATAAAAAAATTTAAAAATCGTAAAACTGAAATATCGTAAAGTTAATAAATTGAAAAACTGAAAATTTTTGAAAAAAAAAATCGTATCAAAAACTAAAAATTCAAAAAATCGAAAAATTGAACCATCAAAAAATCAAAACATTGAAATCCCAGTAAGTTGATAGATAGGAAAATTTAAAAAACAAAAATTTTTAAAATCCAAGAATTGAACAACAACAAAAAATCTCTAAGCCTGAAAACTCAGAAAATTGAATGATCGAGAACAAAAAATCTAAAGTTTAAAAATTCGACAAATTGAAAAATCATGGAACTGAAAAATCGAAAAGTAGAGATAGTGAGAAATCTAAAAACCTAAAACTTTAAAAACTGAAAAATTAAAATATCGAAAAATTTAAAAACCGAGAAAACACAATATCAAAAATTTGAAAAATTGAAGAAACGAAATATTGCAAAATTCCAAAGCTGAAATATTGAAAAACCTAAAAATGGAAGGAAAATTAAAAAATCGAAACAGCGAAAAAATCCCAAACTGAAACATTGAAAAATTGAGAAATGGAAAAATGGGAAAATCAAAAAAATTGGTCTAAAGAGTTTAGACAGTACTTCCCTCGCTATCGGAAACGTGACGACTGCATGCCTATTATGTTTTTTTTTTTCACATTAGATTTCAAAGCATTCGGTTTTGTAGTTCCTGATTAAATCAATAAAATAAATTTGCGCATTCATTAAATTTTTTGAGTCACCCTGTATATCCGAATCCAAAAAATATGAATGGAATGATAAATTCCAAGAAGAGACTCATCATATTTTGTAAATTTTAAATACGGCAAACTTTTGAGGAGACGTCATCATTTTTTTGGAGGAGATAAGCAAATATATTTTGACTAAAAATTTATTATGCTCTTTATAACCTTAAAACCTTTGCAAGATTTCAAAGCATTGGGTTCTGTAGTTCCTGATTAAATCAATAAAATAAATTTACGCATTCATTAATTTTTGGGGTCATCCTGTACATGCAAATCCAAAAAACATGAATGGAATGATAAATCACAACTTTAGATAGGATTTATTCAGCAAAATTTTGAGGTGACGTCATCAATTCTTTAGAGGGGATAGGTAAATATATTGTGATTAAAACGGTCCTGGTTTAATAACAAAAAAATATTGTTCGTCTATAAAACAAGCTCGTCTTAGACAAAGTATTTGTAAAAAAAATATGTCGTAAAAAAATTTACGTATGGTGGTCCCGACTACGATTATGGTTTAAATATTTTTTAGAAAATCCTGTCATGGATGTAGAAACATTTGTGACAGCCAAAGAGGTTTTTTTGAGAAAATTATCTTTGAATTTAGACCAAATTGAAATAGACACTAGGCAACAGGCACATTTGGGCAAAAGAAAGAGAAATTAGGGTTACGGCTTCAAATTTAGGACGTATTTACAAACTTAGACCGACTACAGCAATAGCTAACACTGTGGAGTCTCTGTTACTGTTATACAGTACATTTAGAGGTAATAGTCATACATACTATGGACAGCAAAGTGAGGAAAAAGCTGTCAAGTGTTTTGAAATAAATAAAAACATAAAAACTGAACGGTGTGGCTTGTTTATTTTAAAACAATTTCCTTACTTGGCTGCTAGTCCAGACAGGGTTCTAGAGGATACGAGTGCATTAGTCGAAATTAAATGCCCTTCAAAATCGCAAGATTTGTCTCCCGAAGAAGCGGTTAGAAAAAAAATAATCAAATTTTTTACATTGACAGACAGAGAATTGAAACTAAAAAAAAGGGACAAATGCTTGTTACGGGTATTTCACAAGTTTATTTTGTTGTATGGACACCCAAAGGAATAAATATAGAAAAAATTTATAAAGACGAAGAAATAAATGTAAAAAGATGGCAGATAAACTTGGCAGATTTTACTTTGGCGCATTATTGCCCGAAATAATTGATTCAAGAAGAAAGAGGAACCTGCCTTTGCGAGAGTTTTTTTTTAAATAAATAAATTTGTTTCTATTTTTTTATGTACTTTAATAATTTATTAGGAGTACATTTTTCATCACCAAGACTTGCATATTTTTATTATAAATATATTTTGAAAATGATCTCTCGGCAAATGAAAACATATACGAGCACTTTTTTCCAGTAAACAATGAAGGGAGAAGTTACTGGGCGTAGGGCTTTTTTAAAACACCTCCTTTCTGGGATAAGTAATAGATACACTTAGCTACTTATACGTGTTAAACAAAAGCTGTATTTTATATATTTTTTATTATTATTATAAATATGTTTATTAGTTTTATTAATTAACAAAGCAAAATATATATTAACAATAATATTACAATGAATTTTTAGTAATTATGTGTACTGAATTCAAGAGTGGAGTAAAAATATTATAGTTCCCCAGTTTTAATTCGGTTTTATGATAGTACCGCATTGCGTAAAAGTTAATTTCCTTAACAATAGATTACTACGGCCGGTCCTGGCGGCTTCTTATAAAACTGAGTTCCTTGCCATAAATTAGAAAAATCAGCCGAGAACTCTAACAATCAGCTTATGGTAGAGCAGGCGATAAGGGTTTTACCTGGAAAGTCGCTTCCGTAAATTTTAGTGGCGCTCCTATCGGCAAAGTACTGAACTAACTGCTCAAATTCTGTCGAATTGATACCCATTTTTTTCAATAATGGTTAGTTTTTGTTAAAAACTCTGCTAACCAATAGATCATTAATTTTCCTCTGATATTCCTGTTAAAATTATTCGATGTGTTTTGCATTAATTTGTGGTATATTTTGATTTTAATAAACACATTATTATTTAAACAAATTGTACAACTAACAAACATTTAATGACTCTGCGCCCTGTAAAAAGTGATGTTTAATCCATGTGCGAATTTTCAAGCGATTCTATGATGGTTATGACTCAAAAAACTTGAAAAGAAAACATACAATGGTGCTTTTTTACGATATTTCTCAGCCATATTTTTTTAATTGATTGAACTGGTTTCTGCGCTCTAGAATATGAAAAAAGCTGCAGTTTGATGTGTGATACATCTATATTAATATCATTTTTTCATACAAAAAAACAAAAAAATGTTATACCTCGTCTAGCGAGTCCCCTTCACACCTGACAGTTTTTGCATAGGCAACATATTATACTCCCCAGAGACGACTTCGTCCAATTTTTTTTTTTTTTAATACGCAATCATAGCAATAATAGGCATGCAGTCATCACGTTACTACAGCGAGGGAAGTACTGTCTAAACTCTTTAGACCAATTTTTTCTTCTATGATATTTTTTCGCAGTTTCTTGTTTTCTGTTAATTTTGAATAAAGACAGATTAAACAAAAAGTCACTTTAAACTACAATATGTACATATATTGAAAAAGACTTAAAAAAGTGCAAAATGTAGTATAAAAACCTGAACTCCAAACTCACTTCCTGAAATTATTTTAATAACATTTTTACTGTTATCACTAATCACTTAAATTGTCTCGAATTTACACATAACAAAGATTTTATACAGTTCATTTGTGATTTCAAATTTTGAAATGGCGCATATAGCTTTATTACAGGTACTTAAAAAAAGGCTAGTACATATTCACTTAATCTCTTTATTTTCAGAATTTAATGTGCGAAGGTGTTCGTGTCTCGCTACTTGTTTGCTTTTGTTTTTTGGTGATTATTATTAGTATATTAGCTCTAAAATATTTTTGGAGATTAGTGAATATTCATACGTCTGACAGCGTGGTTAGGACGCGTTTTCAGTGACATATCCAGGTAATTTGGGTGAAATCTTCCAATCTTTATTCTAACTGGTGCAACATTTCTGGACGGTCGTTTATCGGCTACACGAGTAACATTTCTATTTCCCGAGCGTAAGCCAAGGAAGTATTGTAATCGAGTTCATCAGTCGACTCCCTACTTTTACGTTTTCTCGACTTTTCATGACCCCTAGAGTACGAAAAAATTGGTCTCCCATTCCCGTCTGTCTGCCATCCTGATTTTTATTAGACAGATGATCTCCGAAAGTACTGGGCCGATTGATTGTTGTCAAATCTTGTATTTATATTAGGAATATTATGTAAATACATACTTTCAAATAAATTAACATCAGGTTCTTACAAATAAATTATGTTTACCGCTAAAATAAAACTTACCATCATGGCGTCCTTTTGCTTCATTTTTCGTATCCTCCACTTCCATCAATTCAACCTTTATATTATACATATTATTAGAATAGTATTATTACTTATTACATCTCACTGCTGTTTTCATAGGGAACCACTCTTGAATAGCACGTTTTTCAGGTTGATTAAATTAACGAATCATTTTCAAAAAATATTTAATTGCAATATTTGCGCTGTGTATCAACAATATGACAAATCTTTTAGTCTTATAAAATTATATGGAAGTCATAACATTCAAACGAATATTTTTGTACAATACAAAAGAAACAGAAATAATTCAATAAGTGTTTGTTTCACAGTTTCACGTCATACAAAACACAAAATAGCACACTACGATTTTAAAATGACACTTTAAAAAAGACTAGTGCAAAATAAAAAATATATATAAATATTACAGGAATGCCCATCTATACTTTAAAATAATAAAACACTACGCTAACGGATTCTTCTTCATGAGCTGTATATCAGCCTCCATCATATCCTTCACGAGTTCATGAAAAGACACTTTCGGAATCCAGTTAAATTTCTTTTTAGCTTTGGAAGAATCGCCCAAAAGTAGGTCCTACAAGCACTAAATTACTTCAAATCCTGTCAATCTTTCAACTAACTTACCACTTCCGTAGGTCGGAAGTACCTCGGATTTATTTTAACGCGAACAGCGCCAGTATCTTTCTCTTTACCAACCTCCTCCTGACCCGAGCCCTCCCACACTATTTCTTTGCCTACGTGCCTAAATGCTGCTTCCACAAATTCGCGAACGCTGTGAGTTTCTCCAGAGGCTATAACATAATCATCGGGTTCTGGCTGTTGCAGCATTAGCCACATAGCTTCCACGTAGTCTTTGGCATGCCCCCAATCTCTTTTCGAATCCAAATTACCTAGCTCCACGTACTGAGACAATCCTAAATGTATTTTCGCGACTTCTCGCGTTATTTTTCGCGTTACGAAAGTTTCACCTCTTCGAGGGCTCTCATGGTTGAACAGAATACCGTTGCAAGCAAACATGTTGTAAGCTTCGCGGTAATTTACCACGATCCAGTATGCATAAAGTTTGGCACAAGCTAGATTTAAATTAAAATAAGTGACTAGATTGCAGAATGTACCTAATTCTTACCATATGGAGATCTAGGGTAAAAAGGCGTTTTCTCAGTTTGTGGAATCTCAGCCACTTTACCATATAATTCCGACGTAGAAGCCTGGTAAAATTTCACTTCTTTTTCCAAGCCACAAGTTCGAATGGCATCCAATAACCGTAAAGTACCCACAGCGTCTACCTCTGCGGTATATTCGCTTAAATCAAACGACACTTTGACGTGACTTTGAGCTGCTAAATTGTAAATTTCGACTGGTCTTATTTTGGTGATTAATTTAACGAGAGAACTGGAATCGGTCATATCACCATAGTGTAAATGCATTTTTCCGCCTTTATGTGCGTATGGATCGGCATGAAGGTGTTCAATTCTGCCTGTGTTGAAGGAACTTGACCTTCTTATTATCCCATGTACTTCGTAGCCTTTGTTTAACAATAATTCGGCCAAGTAGGATCCATCCTGAAATTTAAATTTGAATTTTAGCGCAACTGTCGATAAAGTAGATTCCTGATATGCCGACAATTGACACAAACAAAAATGAGCCGGACTGAGTAAAATTTGTAAATAGGTGAATTAAGGAATATGTAGACTTATAGCGAATATAATTAGACACTTGTGACGGGAATATCGACATACCTGACCAGTAATTCCAGTTAAAAGGGCTACTTTCCTTTCGTCGCCGCTTGCCATGACAGGGACACGTGTTATATTAATTAAGAGAATTGTCACTGCAACAACTACCTTAAAGTTGTTTAAGTAAGGTAATCAAATCTCTATTTGTTGGCTATTTGTACATACAGGGGAAATTCAGATAAAAAGTTCTCTGAAATCTGTATTTGTTTTGATAAGGCTAAATTCAAGCAGTTTTTTAACGAACAACTCGGTCGATGGGTGGATGTTTGGTATAGGCAACGTGACGTCTACAAAAAAATGTCTGTTCTAAAAATTGACAAGCGAACAAAATTTGAAAAACTACCAAACCAAAATAAACATAAACTAGATAATGTTAATGCATACAGCGTGGTTACACGTACACCGTACACCAGACCAAAACAACAATTGACGTATCAACCACACAAGCCTGTTTTACTACCCACAATTTCCCTGAACAAGGTATCAAACTACCAACAAGACATTAAGTTACACATGGTTCCCTATGTTTAACGATTTTGTAATATGTGGTAACATCATGGAACATAACGGGTAGTGCGCTAAAAAATGCTTGATCGACCAGACAGCTGATATGTCACAAAAAACTGACAAGTGACAACTTTGACATGTTGTGATAACCAGAGCAAAAAGAAAAAGTTGGTTTTCGAGACTCACGAAACTACTTTCTAGGACTTCCAATTCTAATTATCCAGAATTACATGTAGAATTTTAAAGATGAGGGAAATTATAACATTCATAGCAATATCATGTGCACTGTTTGCACTTACACAGGTAATTACCACCTCATATTGATAAAAATCTAAATTGAAATAAAAACGACGATTTGCCTTTCAGGCGCAGTCCTACGACGACAAAAGATGCAAATGTATTTGTCCGAGCATCTCCTCAGTGACCAACAGCACAGAAACTTCCCACATGGCTAGAATCATGTACATCACTAATGTTCCACCTAAACAATGGTAAACACACTACAATTATCAAAACCCTAAATAAACAATCATTTTTACAGTAATTGTGATGGCGTCATCCTCCCAAGAATAGGCAGGGAGCTGCAAGGCAAAGAACAAGAATTTTGTCCACGTTGTGAATGTAAGCACGAAAACAGAAACACAGGCATTATTAAAGTGGTTGTTATTATTGTCATTTGGGTGATCTCCATACTGGTTATTTACATGGCCTTTTTAATAATTCTCGATCCACTGCTCAACAAAAGAATCAAAGGCAGCTACCAGGAACATACTAATGAAGATGTTCGTATCTATGTTTATGTTGGAGGAAAATTATGACAGTTGTTTGCAGGATGAGGCCAGTACGGCTGGTCCTATGTATCATAATATGAGTCTTCGAGGAAATGTATTGAATCGAGTGGGACATCAACAGGATAAGTGGAAGAAACAAGTAAAGGAACAGAGGCGTAATATTTATGATAGACATACCATGTTGAACTAAAGTATGTAAAAGTGTAATTGATATTTTTGTGATTGCAAGATAGTAAATTATTTGGGCTCTATAAGAGCTTATTTTTTATGTTGTCGTAGATTATTTACAAAGTAGTGACATCAGAGTTGTAGATTAAAGGATTATATTGTGAGTTGTTGATGGAAATGTTTTTTTTTAATATGAAAACTCTTAATTTATGTTGATTATTTTGTTAGTGTCTAGCACATACGTCATTAAAGAATCTCAATTAAGTTTATTGTATGTGAATTATATATATGTATATAAGGTGTAGAGAAATTGTACATAACTAAAATTCATAGACAAATATGGGGAAAAGTATGTATAGAATAACTGAAGTTTTACTGTCTCCCCCTACCTGTTTTTGAAAACGATGTTCAATGGACGAAAAAACAGACCAAGTAAAATTAACAAAGTTTTGTTTAGTGTAAAGTAATCACAAATAATTTTTAATTTCATTGAAGATATTTAAAAATCATGAAGACGTAGATATCAATTAAAATATACAGGGTGGTAATGTTTAAACACAATTAAAACGTAAAAAAAACCGTATAACTTGTCGGATTGTGGTGTAATAAACTCTGAAACTAGAAAACTTTTTCTGATGAACGACCTACCACTTTTTAAATGTATGAAAAAAGAAAAATATTTGCTTTATTGCTTACTTTAAATATATCTGATGAGTTTTTTTTTCTTTTATTGATGTATGTGATTTTAGACACCGCTTCAAGACAGCACAGATCCGTACCACAGCCTGTTTTATATTTTTACATTTTTTAGATTTCTCAATTGTTTAGTTTTTAATGAATCAGTTTTCAATTATCAAATTTTCCAATTTCTCAATTTTTCGTTTGTTTGATATTTGAATTTTAAATTTTTTCGATTTCAGAATTTTTAAATTTTCAATATTTGATTGTACATTCATCTGATTGTTCATTTGCTTAATTTTTAAAATTAATGTTTCAGTTTTACGATTTTAAAGTTATTCGATTTTTCAATTATATAATTTCGTAATTTTTTATTATTACAGTTTAATAATTTTTCTATTTTACAATTATCCAATTTTTCAATTTTGTAATTTTACAAATTTTCAATTTTTTATTTACGATTGTTCAATATTTCAATTTTAGTTCTTCAAGTTTTAGATTTTTTAATTTAGTTATTTTACCTTTTTCTTTTTTAAAGGTATCCAATCAATTTTTGATTTTTTAATTATCCGAATTTCATTGTTTGGATCTTCTATTTTTTTGAGTTTTAATACATATTTCGATTTTCAATTTTCCAAATTTTTGATTTTGCAGTTTTATATTTTTGCAATTTTTCCATTTCTCACTTGTCCAATTTTTATGAATCAGTTTTTCAGTTTTTGATTTTTCAGTTCCTATCATATTTCCCAATTTCTCAATTTTTCGATTTTTAAGTAATTGTTCGATTTCTGCTCATTTTAATAATTTCGCAAATTTTCGCTTTTTAAATTTCGCAATTTTTCTATTGTTTTATCTGATTTTTCAATTTTTCGATTTTAAAATTATTCGATTTTCAATTTTATATTGTTCCAATTTTTCAAATTTACAGTATAATAATGTTTTGATTTTATAATTACCCAATTTTGTAATTTTGTAATTTTGCAATTTTTTGACTTTTCTCTTTTACATTTTTACATTTTTTCGATTTCTCAATTGTTTAGTTTTTAATTAATCAATTTCCAATTATGAGATTTTCCAACTTCTCAATTTTTCGTTTGTTTGATATTTGAATTTTAAAATTTTTCATTTGCTTAAATTTAAAATTAATGTTTCAGTTTTACGATTTTGCAATTTTTCGATATTAAAATTATTCGATTTTTCAATTTTATAATTTCGTAATTTTTAATTTTTACAGTTTAATAATTTTTCTATTTTACAATTATCCAATTTTTCAATTTCGTAATTTTACAAATTTTCAATTTTTATTTCCAATTGTTCAATATTTCAATTTTAGTTGTTCAAGTTTTCGATTTTCTAGTTTAGTTATTTTACCATTTTTCTTTTTTAAAGGTACCCGGCGATTTTTTCAATTTTCGATTTTTTAATGATCCGAATTTCATTGTTTCGATCTTCTAATTTATTTATTTTTAATACATATTTCTATTTTCCGTTTTCCAAATTTTTGATTTTTCAAGTAAAAAAACCGGCCACCCTGAAAAATTTCGCAAAACCACTTTAAAAATTATTAATTCACTAGTGAACATTATTTTATTAAAGAACCATTCACTATTGACACATGATGTACAAATTAGCAAAAAAAAAACCAAGACAAATAAACGCAGAATTAAATTTAATTTAACAAAATAACAGAAACAGACCAAGTACGATATTTTCTTAAAAAAAAACAATAAAGGAGGTTGTTGTTGTAAACAGTGTTTTCATTATTTGATTATAAGTTTGGCAATTTAAACATTTTCACGCGAAAACAATTCCATTAACTCTTAAGACGTCTGTTATTTTGTTGAATCAAATTTAATTCTACGTTTATTTGTCTTCTTTTTTTGCTAATTTATACATCATGTGTCAATAGTGAATGGTTCTTTAATAAAATACACATTTTCTAATTTGTCAATTTTTCGGTTTTCAAGTAATTGTTCCATTTCTTCTCAATTTAATAATTTCTCACATTTTCGATTTTAAAATTTTGTAATTTTTCTATTTTTTTTATCTGATTTTTCAATTTTTTGATTTTAAAGTTATTCGATTTTCAATTTTATATTTTTGCAATTTTCAGATTTACAGTTTAATAATTTTTCGATTTTACAATTACCCAATTTTTCAGTTTTGTAATTTTGCAATTTTTTAACTTTTCTGTTTTATATTTTTACATTTTTTCGATTTTTAAATTGTTCAGTTTTTAATGAATCAATTTTCAATCATCAGATTTTCCAATTTTTCGATTTTCCGTTTTTCAGTTATTTGGTATTTCGATTATTGAATTTGTTTGATATTAAAATTTTTAGATTTTCCGAGTTTCCAGATTTTTCGAATTTTCAACTTCTAGGTCGTAGACACACACAAAAAAAAATTATGGGATGTCAAAACTCATGTATAGGCTATCATTTAGTTTCTTACATTGTTACTACTGGTATTTTATAGTTTTTCAAAAAAGCGGGATTTGTTCGACTGTACTTCAGCTGCGAGGGAAGTCCTATCGAAGTAACCTTCGACCAATTTTTACTATATTATTGTGTTCTAACGTTACCTGGATCTCCTTTTCATCGGAATAGTTGTTGCGCAATTCACCCCTTGGACCCGAATTAATACGATAAAAACTTAAATTTAAGTACCAATGTGTAGATGATAACGGGTTTATTACAATATACTACGATTAATCATCATAAGAATATATCAAAGTTAATCATCTATTTGGGCAACATTCGCACTATATAATCGTTGTTGAACTTTAGCTGTGATGATGCTGTGATGTATCATTTCATCGTGGATGCATCCATTGCGCATTGAATGCATCTGTGACGTCACGAGAAATACAGTTGAGGAGTGAGACGTCATTTATGAAAAGGTGAATTTCAATGCATATCAAAGTACATACTTCTTAAATTATCATAATATTTAAAAACACATTTCTCTTCTAATCTCAAATCTATTCTGCGACATGTGTATGTAACATTTTTTAGCACTAATATAACGAAATATTGTTAATCTATGCACGATTGTTATTTGAATCCATTTATAAAAAAAAAATGCTTTTTATTATGAAAATTTTCAACAACAGCAAAGAAATTGGGTTATTATTGAAAATTGTTAGGTTAGCCATCGGCCACGGGCAGTAGTATAGATTATATTCTGAAATAATTTTTAACAAGGAGATATTTCTTAATAGTCTTCGTATTTAAGTTGAATAAAAAAAAACGTGTACTTCCTATGGAATTTATTGGTTTCGTACATAACAGATGCTTAACTTCACGGAATTTCAATAGATTATTTTTAGAATGTCGGTTCCATTTTTTTTTTATTTAGACAGACACTTTGCAAGTGGAATATAAAAATTCGACCACACTTGGGTACGGTGGATTTGTTAATTCATTATGTTCTACTATCCCCTACTTACTAGAATCACAGAAATAGACATAAAAGAATAATGCCCTGTTTTTACAATATAATAAACTTAAAGTATGGTATAATAGTACCATAGAAACAATAAGCAAGTGATTAATAAAATAAAAAGGTCAGCGACTTGTGCATGGTCAAATTTTCACTCATTTCCTAACCGTAACCGATAACCTTTGACTTTACCATAAAAGGTAAAATAAAAATAAAATATCTCAATCATGTGACGAGACACCTTCTATCCTACTGCAATGCAACTTGAAACGTACTAATAACCGATAAAAATCCATATCAATGAATTAAAGGCCAAAAGCTGACCTTTCATACCAGGTCACGAGGTCGTCATACTCGCACAGTTTCGTTATTAAGTCATCTCAACTTCGTTTTTGCACCAATTACATAAAAATTAACACGTCAAACCCTTATTTACCCAACCAATTCCCTTCCATTACGTAACTCTCTTCCCATTCAAACCTTCCCGCGTGAAAATCACGTGCAACTCGTGGCAGATGTCGCCCCTGCAGCGCCGTCCCATTGGCCGAGCGTGACTTTGACGTCATCGCATCGCCTTCGCCGGATATCAGGGGACGTACTGTCAAAACTGCCTCTTTCGTTCGCGAGAAACCACACGGTGTTAACGTGTACGAGCGTAAAAATTCAAGATGCCGACCGACCCGATGAGTTTCACTAAAGATTTCCTTGCTGGAGGAATCTCAGCAGCTATCTCCAAGACGGCTGTGGCCCCCATCGAACGTGTGAAGTTGCTTCTGCAAGTGCAGGCCGCCAGCAAGCAGATCGCCGCCGACAAACAGTATAAAGGTAAGTGCGGCGTCCATTTTTATTAATTGGAAATCGCAGGGTTTTTGATTCGAATTGGGGGTCAAACGCGTGCCGCCGCCGCCGCCGATCGATAACCCACTTGCGACCTCGCCTCGAACCGGCGGCGGCGAGGTAGGCAAGAGAAGGTACGGTGGCGGTTACGTAACGAGGATTTGTGGTTTTCCATTGAGTGGTGGCGCCGACGAACCGAAATTCGGGGAAATTGGGGGTCGTGGCGCGGTGGGTTCAGTGGGTGTAGGGGATTTTTGGCGATTATAGCGTGGGTCAGCGATTTGGCAGGACCGTACTTAACACGTGGTAATCGCAGTGACGTCATTATCTGACCTCAATGGTTTGTTGGAAGTAGTAGTTCTCTGCGTCAGGAATGAATGAAAGGAAAGGACGCTAAAAAATTTCGGTTTGGGGTGTCGTTTAGGGTTTTTCTTTGTGTCGAAAAGCACCATAGTAACTAAAAGGGGAGAGCTGCCATATGACTGTGTAGAAGAGGGAGAGAGAGGGGTTGAGTTTTAGGGATTTTTACTGGTAGTGCCACACTGTCCACCGTAATTTTAATTATAAGTAGTTTTTAGAAAAATACAATAGTGTTTTGTTGATTTAGAACGTACGGCTGAAACGTGCCATTACATAACCTTGAATTGTACAGTAGAAATCGTCATCCATGTCATAATACTTTACAGCTAATAAATTAACGTAATCTATCGAGTTTTCAAGTTTAAATCATCTGATAACTTTTGACTACTGTATAATATATTGCAGGGTAACACTAAACTAAAAATAATGTTTATAATTTAAAATAATTTTGTATAAGGTTGTCAAAGTATCAATAATCCGATGCCAGTAACGTATCATTTTTTCCCATTAAATCAAGATAAATTTTGCGAGTTGATACGCCCATGAAACATTCTGTAGTCAAAAACAAATGTTTTATATTTGTTACGTAATGACAGTCTACGTGTCATTAGTTCAAAGACAAATTAAAATTCCTCTGTTGAATTCTATAGTGCTTGATTTTAGATGAACTTTGAACGAAACATTTGTTAGTATATAACTAAACATGCAAGCGAATACTTCTATATCATCATAATTCTTTTGTTACTAGGTTAAACCAGACTGTTATTTCTGTTGAACATATCATAAATGAGTACATTTGTAATTCGAGCTTAATCGTAAAGTAAGGAAATCCCGCAATGTTATCTGGTTCTCGTCACAGATAACCTATCAAATTTCGTGCTGTATGACTCAGAATAACGTCTCACTAGTGTTTTCTCATTTATAAATCCACTTACAAAGCTACAGTTTTGCATTTTCAGCACATTTTGTTCAAAAAGATGTTCTTAAAAACGACCAAATTTGATCTTCACAACTTTGGTATTTACTCGTGTTCTTTTGTGCTTAATATCTGAATAATAATATTCATACGAGAATCAAAAATCTTCTAGTTAACGTAATAATATACAATTTAATTTTGGAAATTGGGGCCAGAATTTCGTGCCACTTGTTTCTAATTCATAATGACACTGACATGTCGGAAGGTTTTGGAACCTTCAACGTAATTTATTCGTCAAAGAACTGAACTCATAAATTTTTGACAAGTTGCTTAGCAACCGTGTCTTTGTATCGATTCTGGTGGTGAACTTGGCTGTTACCAATCGTCGCCAACTAAAAATTACTTTGTGCTTAATTTGATACTGTCAAAATTCCACTGGTCATTAGGGTTTGAAGAATAAAATTAAGTTGTGTTTTAGCACTAAATCGGAGTAAATATTTTTTGTGTTTTTTTGATTTATTGATTCGTATTAAACCGAAACTGCCATCATAAGTGCAAAAAAATGAAATGAAAAAAATAATTTTTTTTTCAAAGTGGTCAGTATTTTTTTTTAAACGCATCTCATGAACTAAATTCAAACACGAATTTTGTGCGAGTTCCTAAAAATTTGTGTCCGTGCTTTAGAGTGTTCTCGAGCGCGTGAGCTTTTGTTTTCTTGCCGTTTTACGACTCCCAGAGCATGAAAAAATAGGTCTTCTTATTAGAGATATAATTTCTGGAACTATTGGACTGTCATTAAGTTTCATTTGTATTTTAGGAATATCGTGTAGACTGTAAAAGATAAAACGGTACCCAAAATTTTGCTGTTTAAATTTTATAAAATATCGTAATCCTGAAGTTGGGATTTATGAATTCCCCTCGATTTTATTATATTTATTATGACTATTTTGGGTGCAAAAATAAATCAATATGACTATTTTAGTAATTTGACGAAATTGACGAAAATTCTGTCACAGAGTAATATAAACGATTCATGGCTGTTTTTATTGTGTTTTTTATTGTTATGTCGGTAATTAATAATTATAGTGTTATTTAAGTTTAAAATGTTTACTCGAAAATTCATTCATTCTTTTACATGTTCTTGAGATAAAAATCTGTTTAAACTGGCGTTTTATTTTGTTGGAAATATTTCATTCTAGTTGGTATTCAATTTATTTTGATTTAAACTGCATTTAAAAGGCCATAATATGCGCTATATTTTTGTAATTTGAAAAGAAAAGAAAAAGAGATACATTATTTAAATTAGCGATTTTTTTTAATCACTTGACTTAAAACGTGTAATTTAAATCAATCCAACCCTACTCAATATAAAGCGGTTTTGAGTTCCTAAAAATTTCCTGTCATAGGGTGTTCTCATGATAATTATAAAAATATACATCAAGTTGGCTTTGGAAAGTCTGTCACTCAATTTTTAAAAAAATACTGCTTCCTTATTTCAGCAAACAATTTACTGCATGATGAAAATAACATGAATAAGAATATTGTGGGAGTATCACATGCTTTAGTAGCATTCAGTCAGGTATTCTTGTGCTGCAAACAAACTCTCACACTTTTAAGACTTGTTGAAATTTGTGACAGGGACAGGTGATGTGTTTTAGTCCCATCATTTCAACAAGGCGGCAAACGGGATTTTAATTTTCGGATACGATTTACGTTCCACGTAAAACTAATCGCCCATATAATTTTTTTTAATCCAATTTTTGCAAATTATGCTATTATTGTTTAGTCGTCAGCTTTTCTCGTGATCGGTAACTTAAGAGTCGTCTGTGTTGATAATTTATAAATTTAGTAGGTACAAAGTGCGTCAGTCTCGCTTAGGTTTATTAGTATATGGTGATATATGCCCGAACTTGATAAATAAAAGTCACGCGAAAGTGCATTCAATAAATTCCATAAGTGGTGCATTTTATACGAAAGATTTCGTAGCAGTATTATTAGTTCTTCATTTCTGTTATTGGTAACGCATCTTCCAGAATTTGTTTAAAATCTTTGTTCTTGAAAATAATCTTCATTATTAATTTCGAGATTTTCTACAGAATAATTTTTGAATAAGTAACTTGTATTGTTTATGGCGACTGCGATGTGCTGGCAATTTCACGTGAATTGAACACTACATGAAGTTTGGGAGATCGTGATGCATTCTAAGTGGTCACATGCTTCTAAGAAGTCATTAAGTTATGCAAATTATGCCAAAAAGAATAACAAACAATTTGTTTAGGTATTGTACCTGTCTGTGCCCTCAGGCAAAATTGTGTTGACTACTTCATTTAACGTCGGAACATAATTTTAAGTTTATTTTTTTTTTTAGCTTTTCTATTTAAAGGAACTGGTTTAATAAAAGTTATTTTTTTTTTCTTTCATTTGGCCATTCGTGGTCTTGAAGTACTTCAGAATATTCTAGAAATGCCATTAATTCTTAAGCAAGTGATCAATACACAGTCTCTCTCTCTCTCACTCTTTAATAATAATATCTCTAATTTAAGAACTAAATATTTCGAGTCATGAATTAGCTTCTCTTCGGGGACACCTATTGATTATCTAATAAAAACAGCAAATAGTCTCATAAAAATAAACATTCGCTTTTCTCCAACACAGGTATCATCGACTGTCTGGTCCGTATCCCCAAGGAACAGGGTTTCTTCAGTTTCTGGCGTGGTAACCTCGCCAACGTCATCCGTTATTTCCCCACTCAGGCGTTGAACTTCGCCTTCAAAGATGTCTACAAACAGATGTTCCTCGGTGGTGTCGACAAGAACACCCAATTCTGGAGGTACTTCGCCGGTAACCTGGCGTCAGGTGGCGCTGCCGGTGCCACATCTTTGTGCTTTGTGTACCCTCTAGATTATGCTCGTACTCGGTGAGGTAGTTCGTGAGGAGAAAAATCTTCGGTACTTACTTTCTTGTTTAACAGTTTGGGCGCCGATGTTGGAAAAGGAAAGGGCGAGAGACAGTACACCGGTCTCTTGGACTGTATAAAAAAAACAGTAAAATCTGACGGACCAGTCGGTTTATACAGAGGTTTCTTCGTCTCGGTACAAGGTATTATCATCTACCGTGCCTCGTACTTCGGGTTCTTCGATACTGCCAAGGGAATGTTGCCCGATCCCAAGAATACGCCCTTCCTCATTTCGTTCGCCATCGCACAGGTAAGAGTTGAGGGGTTTGTAATTGTGTAATGTAAGCTGTTATGGTGCATTTCCTGTCTCTTTGCGAAGAGTTATTGTACCTTTCCTTGGTATCCTTTTTTGAGTGGTAGGTATTCTTCCATACGTTTACCCCGTTTTTTAGGTGTGAAAAGTGGTTTGACAATCAACTAAGATGACTAGAATCGATCAAATCAGTCATTGACCTGATCCCTAAACCTTGTTCCCCTGAGAATCCAGCCCCGAAAGGTATTAACCTAAATTAACCTAAAAGTTCCTCAATTTGCACCATGATATTTTGTGGCTTTATTGGGAACAACTGACTCAGTTCTGTAATTAAGTGTTCAGTAGTCACGATAGACAGCCAATTATGGAAATAAAGAGAACTCTATTACGAAATTGTGTTGTAACATTCCAGTCTTATCACACTAGTCTTAATTCACGATTTCAGTGAACATGCGATAATGATAACGTTATCTTATTGACCTTTGTGTAAAAATTTTCAAAATTCACAATTTCATTGTGACTTACAAAGTACATAGTGATATATGTAACACTGACAGAGATCAGATAAGATTACGCCGTCTACTGTTCCCAATAAACGCAGTATAATATTTTTGACCTTGGAGGAAATCAAATGATTTCATCCAAAATGATGAATTTACATAACTGAGCCTACTTTGATGACTCCAGTTTTACCACTACCCATTTACTGACGTCATCATTGGGCACCCACGTGTGAAAGAATGTTGCTATAGAGTACTAATTGATTTATGTGTTAGGTCGTCACAACAGTTTCTGGTATCACGTCATATCCATTCGACACAGTCAGAAGGCGCATGATGATGCAGTCCGGCCGGGCTAAAGCTGATATTATGTACAAGAATACATTGGATTGCTGGGTCAAGATCGCAAAGAACGAAGGCGGAAGGGCCTTCTTCAAAGGAGCGTTCTCCAACATCCTCCGCGGTACTGGTGGTGCTTTGGTGCTGGTGTTATACGACGAGCTAAAAGCAATCCTCTAAAACAATAGTAGAATTATTAACGGATTAAATTATTAATTGTCTCATAATTTATTTTCATTCCGTGGTTTATGCATTTATTTAGGCCGACACATTCCTTTTTTTAGACGTTTTACTGTTGATCATTAGGCGCAGGAACTACACATTCCATGTAAACGAATTCTCTTTTGTTATACAAAGTTTTTAAATGGCAATTATAAGCTGAAGTATTGATAGACCTGTATTTTAAATTCTGTATATTTTAAAACAGCCGTTTACCAATAAAACAGTTGTGATAAGTTACTTTATTATTGTTTTCTTTTTATTTAACTTGATTGTTGGTAGTATGAAACGTAATAAAGTTCTATAGTTGAGGCGACGTGTTTTTGTTTTCTCAGTTGGACAATAGGCACTGTTAGAGATCTGCGCATTGTAATGGAGGCATTTAGTGTAAGATGTGGGCAATAAAAGGTTACGAGCTTGTGTACTGTTTGTGTTGAATTTTTAGTTTTTTTAGACGTTTTTTTTAGAAAATCAATTTGTACTTTCAAAAGTGGATTCATATTTCGATTGTTCATTTGAATTCAAATACTGAAATCGTTTTGTTTAAACTTTTTCCATCAATTTTCTTTTCGGAGTTGGACGTAGTTGTGTGTAGATGTGTGCACTTACCCAGAACATTGCTTTAAATTTTAGTTTGGTGAAGGAAAAAATAGCCGACAAAATCTCACTCAAGTTTTTAATCTCAAAAATACACCGGTTTGAGTTATTTCTATTTGAAACAAATTGTGAGATTTTTTTTTGTTGACATTTAGACAATTAAACGTAGTTGCGCTATAGGGCATAAACTGCGCTTCAAAAGATAAAAATATTTCAACTAATTTAATTTAAGGTCCGTTTTTATCTAGGTCGCAAATAAGGTGTCATTTTTTGAGGCATTCTGTACAAGCAATTCTAAAAAATAAGTTGAAAGTTTTCAACAAAACTTCCCTCGCTTCTGAAGTAATAAGTCTAACAACTGCTTCTCTGAATAATTATAAAATTTGATTTTGCGGAATTTTACTTTTTCGGGATAACCACTATCGAGTAAAAACAATATATGTAGAAGGTACTAGTCACAGTGTAACAGAAAAAAAGGTTTCACTTTAAAAAAAGACAGCTGTGAGCACCGAGAAGATTTAATATTATTAAAAAAAAGACATTTGGGGCCCCCGAGACGGTTTCGCCTTCTTTAAAAAAGGACAACTGGGACCCCCGAAAAGGTTTCATATTCTTAAAAAAATACCTGTGGGGCCCTCGAGAAGGTTTTACATTTTTAAAAAAGACAGTTGGGACCCTCGAGAAGGTTTCACATTCTAAAAAAAAAAATTGGCTTCTCCGACAAGGTTTTACATTTTTAAAAAATAATTGGCGCCCTCGAAAAGGTTTAAAGAAAAACAATTGGGACCCCCGAAAAGGTTTTACATCCTTAAAAAATACATTTGGGGCCCTCGAGAAGGTTTTACGTTTTTAAAAAACAGTTGGGACCCCCGAGAAAGTTTCACATTCTAAAAAAAAACATTTGGCGTCTCCGAAAAGGTTTTACATTTTTAAAAGACAATTGGGACCCCCGAGAAGGTTTCACATTTTTAAAAAAATAAATTTGGGGCCCCCGAGAAGGTTAAAAATTTAGCAACACCGAGGAGGTTTTAATTTTTAAAAAATACATTTGTGGTCTCCGAGAAGGTTTTACATTTTTTAAAAAGATAATTGGGACCCCCTAGAAGGTCCCACATTAAAAAAAAAACAAACATTTGGCGTCTCCGAAGAAGGTTTTACATTTTTAAAAAAGACAATTGGGAGCCCCGAGAGTGTTCCACATTAAAAAAAAAATACATGTGCCCCGAGAAGGTTAAAAGACAATTGGGACCCCTGAGAAGGTTTTACATTTTTAAAAAAGACAGTTGAGACCCTCGAGAAGGTTTCACATTCTTAAACAAATACATTTGGGGCCCCCGAGAAGGTTTTACATTTTTAGAAAAGACAGTCGAGAGCCCCGAGAAGGTTCTACATTAAAAAAAATACATTTGAGCCCCCTGGGAAGGTTTTATATTTTAAAAAACGACAGTTGGGTCCCGAGAAGGTTCAAATTAAAAAACAAGACATTTGGGGCCACCGACAAGGTTTTACATTTTTAAAAAAGACAATTGGGACCTCCGAGAAGGTTCGAAAAAAAACATTTGGCAACACCGAGAAGGTTTTAATTTACAAAAAAATGTAATTGGGGCCCCCGAGAAGGTTTTACATTTTCCAAAAAGACAGTTGGGACCCCTGAGGTGGTTTCACATTCTAAAGAAAAAAAAAAAACGGCGTCTCCGAGAAGGCTTTACATTTTTAAAAAAGACAGTTGGGACCCCCGAGAAGGTTAAACCGTCCAGGTTACACCAAAATAGAAATGGACAACTCGTGTTAAGTGCAACTGGCATTACCACTTAATTCAGTTTTCTTAAAAGGATTTAAAAATTTTCAGTCGAATGAAGTTGCTTCCGTTATTATTAATTACACGTACCGAAGTGTATGTTTAAGTGTCATCATTCAATACGTCACCAAGTTTCTTTCCATTAAAAAAAAGTTTGTCCTCAGTTTTTCCTGAAAATTTTAATATCTTAATAAACATTAATGTTTTTAATAAATATTGTTTTTCTCGCAATTTTGTAACGGAGAATAAAATTTTCAACCGGTTTTTGAATGTTTGTAAGAATTCGGAAAATTTTATCTGCACGATTTTTTCGTTTTGTACTTTTAAATCTGACTAATAATTGAGAATTTAGTATAGATTTAAAAATATCTGTACAGACATACATATAAAATCTTTTATTGAGCTTTAATTACTTATTCATTTAACTTTGTCACTCTATAGCTTTATGCTCAATCTGAGTGTGTTTACAGTTTTTGAATTTAATTTTATAGCAATTTTTAAATCCCAATATTATTTGTAATATCTTGTATGGTAGCATAATCTATATAATCTAAATCTATATTTATTCTGTATAATATGACAATATCGGGATCATATGACGTATCTTTGGTATGTTACAATTGTAATCATGTATGTTTTAAATGCATCGTTCAGTAGTGAGTTTCTTCCGTTTTTTGTTGTATGATTTTGATGAATGTTGCTTCGTTGTCTCATGTTCGTGTTGCGATCATATTGTTTTATAGATAATATTATAATATATATAGGTAGGTATTTTTAATTTCAGGTACAATTTGATTAAACAAAATATCAGCTTATCATAGATCAATGAAAAGCAATAGCCGGGTTTTTAATATTTATAAAGTGCTGAAGCCTGAAGCTTGTTTTGTACATATGTTATATGTTTTCTATGTTGCCATTACTATCACGAGGTGGAATAAAAAAATAATATGTATTTTTTTTTACTTACAGTCTTTCGAATTGTAATAAATACTATTCACTTATTATTTGTCTACTTTGAATTTGAATTTCTCCACTTAGGGAAATTTGTTATTGATGTGATGACGTCATAGTGTGATCGTCGTATTTGTTGTCAAATCTGTCAACAGTGTCAACCAACTGCTCTGTCAGTTTGCTGTCAAAGTTACGTTTAGGGTGCCCTAGTTTTAGAAAGCCTCAAAAATGGCTCAAATCGGCGAACCCCTGACCCTCCACAGGGGTAAGTCTCCCGTTTCCCCATCAATTAATCCCCTCCTTATTTTATATTTTCTTTCATTCAGACATCAAACGTTCCATTGAACTTTTGGAAAAACTTCAAAAAAGCGGCGAAGTTCCTGCCACAAAGCTCGCAGCGTTACAAAAAGTCCTGCAGAGCGACTTTCTGAACGCAGTACGGGAGGTGTACGAACATGTGTATGAAACTGTTGATATTCAGGGTTCGCAAGATGTCAGAGCATCGGCGACTGCTAAAGCCACAGTGGCGGCATTTGCGGCCAGCGAGGGGCACGCGCACCCTCGTGTGGTCGAATTGCCTAAAACTGAAGAAGGGCTAGGTTTTAACGTGATGGGGGGCAAAGAACAGAACTCGCCAATTTACATTTCAAGAATTATTCCTGGGGGTGTGGCAGATCGACATGGAGGACTCAAACGGGGTGATCAGCTTTTAAGCGTGAATGGTGTGGTAAGTTGTTTGCGCGAATATTCGTGGCAAATGTGAATATGTGGTTTTGCAGTCTGTTGAAGGAGAAAATCATGAAAAAGCGGTCGAATTGTTGAAGCAGGCGCATGGATCTGTCAAGTTGGTTGTTAGATATACTCCTAAGGTTTTGGAGGAGATGGAGTTGCGGTTTGATAAACAACGGGCAAGGAGGAGGCAGCAGTATAATTGAATTGATTTTACTCTATAGTAGGTGTGCTGCTGATACTCGAAGATTATAAAGATTTGGTCTGTTATTTATCATGTATGTGTAATATATATAGTGACAATTTATGGGACTGCAATCAGATTATTGTTGTACGGAAAGTATTATTAATCTAGGATCTGCTTTTTATTCATAAGTTAATTTATATTACATTCTAAGAATAAAATAAGTATGTAGGAGGTGTATAAATTAATGAAGTTAGGTTCCTGTAATAAAGTTGACTTTAAGATACGGAGTCACAGTGTTGTTTGGATAATTGGTTGCATAACGATTCGATTGTAACCTTAGTAAGTTACTATTTAGCACTTTCATTCTTATGGGCAGTGACTATATATAGTCATTGTTATGGGGTTATTGGGGTGCGGTGGGAGGGGTGGTTGTATGTTGTAGAAGATACAAGGTCATTGCTAAAGAGCGGATTTATATGCGCAAAACTTCTTCGAAATACACACGCTAAATATGCACAATTTTATGCAGGTATGAAATTTACCTCCGGCGACCCGAAATGAAACAGTACACTATAAAGATGTAGTTATCATTTTAAAAACTAGGGAGGCTCTATAGTGGAGACATTTCAGTACATAAGTAGGTGCATGTGATTATTATTTTATATAATTTTCTTCTCATCGCCCTTTTAAGGGGAATTGACTAATTAAACTCGTTTCACACGTCACAGAATTTTACTCCACAAATTATCAGCAAAAGTGCTACCAGAATAATTGCACCAAAAATATGTAGTACTTGTTGTTTATCGTGATCAGTTTTGTGGTCATTTTCAGAGTAATTCTATGACGCCTGAAACAACTCATACATACTATTTGAATTTCATACCTTTAGAGTCTATTGTATCCTGGGTCCACACCAATATTCGTTAAAACGTGACTAATAAGAGCCCACCCACCGTTACTTGAAGCGGTCTTTTCGAAAGAATGACAATAAAGCACCTAACAAGAGCTGCAACAGAAAATATTAGGTAAGGCATTTCAAACGTAATTAGAGGTTAGAGGGTGGTCGGACTATGTGCAGATTGCAGGCTAATTTTGTGCAACTGTTGTGTTTAAATCCGCCGTTAAATTAACAATATATTGTTATTCTGGATGAGCTTGATGGGGACATAGCTGTCGCCTATTGGCTAAACAGAACAAGTGGCCCCCATGAAATCTCTACCGGAATTACTACCGTCTTCAGTCGACCAAAATACCCGACCATGTTGTTCTAATCTCCTGTTGTAACATATGGCTTCTTGTGTTACCATTTGCAGTGAATGCCACTTCTATAAAGAGTCTAACTTACTGTTATCAAAGAAAATTAACGTTAGAAAAAATGTATTTCTTATTTTTTAATGTCCCACTTTTACTTTTGTAATCTAAAATTTTCTTAATTCAGTAGTAACGATGTCTGTTAACACTTAAAAATAAAATATATTATACAAATGATTCTTACCCTTTAAATTTTGTTCAGATAGAGATGAGCCGCCATTTCTTGGCAGCGAACAGAATCGAGGTTCTAGCAGCACTATTTTTCACTACATGTTTTAATTGCGCATTCGGAATTTAATACCGCTCACTCGGGAAATAGCATGCCGCAAAAATTATATTTTATTAAGAAAAAAATCCTACCTTTTTGGCTTCTACTTCTGCTATTATTTCAAGCGAATCCCCTCATCTTCAAAGTTACGGACCTACTGTAAATAAAGAAAAATGTCAATTAGCAAAAATTAATTTTTGTATAATTCAATTTTTTTATTTAAAATTTGTTTAATTCATTGTTACAGTAGCCTTCCTAGTAGGAAATGTCACTTAAAAAACTAAGGATAAAATCAGTTCTACAAATGATATTTACCCTTTAAATCCGGCCCAAATGTCTCTTCGTCTGTCCAGCTGGAGTTGAGCCACCATTCCTTGATGCACTTCAGGATCAAAGTTCTAGCAGCACTAATTTTCACTACGTGTTTTAATCGCGCACTAGGGACTTATCACCGCACACTCGGCACTAAAAATCTCGCACTCGGCACTTAACATCCCTCAAAAATGACATTTCATTGAGAAAAAAAATCCTAGTTTCTTGGCTTCTAGTTCTGCCACTATTTGGAACGAATCCCCTCGTTTGCAAAGATACGGGTCTCCTGTAACAAAACAAACATATCATTTAGCGAAAGTTAATTTTATGAATAATTGAATGAAATTTTTTTTTACTTAAAATTTGGTTAATTCATTGTTGTTACATTAGCGTTCCAACGATAAAATGTCACTTCAAAACCTGAAGATAAAATCAATTAAATGAATGATTCTTACCCATTAAATCAAGTCCAAAAGTCTTGTTATCTGTACGGTTGGAGTTGAGCTCTATTCCTTAAGGCAATTTTTCTAAAAATTCAAAAAACTTCAGGGATGTGGATCTCGACGTGCTGATGAAATTCGATCTTTTGAAATTTCTAAAAATTGCAAAATTTTGCAATGGGCAATTCTGGATAAACAGCCGAAGTTATCGAAGAATTGAGGGCGGAAGTGAATTCTACAGCCGGACACCCCCAAGAAAATGAATTTAGTTAAATTTCGAAAATGGGCTGAAATTTGAAGAAAACGGGAGTACCTATTGCAAACATCTCATTTTTGAAAAATTTTATTGAAAATCTAAAAGTATTCAGGAGTGTAAATCTCGACGTCAATTCTAGAAATGATTCTTACTCTTTAAATTCAGTCTAAATGTCTTATTGTCTGTCCGGTTCGACTTGAGCTACTATTTCTTGGCACAGCGTATAATTAATAGGTAACATTTTGTTAATTTTGTTGCGCTTGATGGGGACATAGCTGTCGCCAATTGACTAAACAGAACAAGTGGCCCCCATGAAATCTCTATCGGTATTGCTACTATTTCCAGTCGTCCAAAATACCCGACCATGTTGTTCTAATCTCGCTCCTTCTGTTACCATTTGCAGTGAATGCCTCTTCTATAAACATTCCAACTTACCGTTATCAAAGAAAATTAACGTTTAGAAAAAAAGGTATTTCTTATTTTTTAATGTCCTAGTTTTACTTTTTTAATTTAAAATTTTTTTAATTCAGTATAAGTATGTCTCTTAAAGACTTAAAAATAAAATCTATATTAATAAAAATGAATCGCCGAAATGTATGTACGCCCATAACTTGAGAACGGCCGCACCGAATCGGACGATTCTTTTTTTTGCGTGTTCCTTATCGTCAGGAGAAGGTTTATATGTAAGAATATTCATGAAAAATGAGACCGGTTAAAGATAAAAAAAATTTAAAAATTTTGCACGGGAATCGCCATTTCGAATCAATTTAAATAGTTGGCCATTCCTGACGGATCTGTCGCCTGACTGACGTGTCACACAAAACTATTTCTTCCGTGCGATTGTGAAAAGTATTATTGCATTTCAAGTCGTTGTTTGTTTTTTCGTAACAAAAAACGTCGTTTATTTCAAGAAAAGTGTTGGTTAAAGTGAATTCAGTTACGCATTGCGAAAGTTTCTTATTAATTTTGATCTGCCATTCTATTTACCTATGTTCACTTTGTTGGTTTCGACAAAACCTCAAACTTTACCGTTATTCGAGGATTTGATTTGAAGTTTTCAGTATTTGAAAATTCTCAAGACAAAATTTACAGATTTGATTGACTGCGAAAATAATTCTGTGTGGTTTTATGAAGTTCATTACAACGCCGAGAAGACGACAAGCTGACATAGGTCCACGAAGTCAATCAAATGTGCGAGGAACTACTTCAGGTACAAATCGCAGTGATTTATTTCATGGGTAATTCGGATACGGAAGTTGATCAGCGTTGTGCTCATAATCAACATAATCAAACATTGAAGCGAGACATTGGGTGGTATGAATAAAAGTGAGTAGATACTCATATTCGAAGTACAAAGTACCTAGAAAGAGTAATAATCTTATATACCTGAGCATCTACTCTATGTACCGAGTACCTACTTGGAAACATTGTATCTCCCCGGACACAAATTGAACATCTACGCGTTTTGTGAGCATTTAATCTAAAAATGAGCATCGGCGTGGCAAATAACTGAGCTGTCTGTAAAGCAGCTTAGAAAACGAGCAGGATCGTTGTAAGAGTGAGTTTTGACTAAATATGGCGACTTTCATGAACGTGGAACGTTGTCAAAAGGTGCATTCAGTTTGAAAAACACATTAGCAGCGGGAATATCGAAAACTTTTCAGGTAATTAACTTTTATTATGGCCATAGAGATTCCCATCTCAAGGTGTCTACCCCATACTGACTTATATTTTGGTGACCCCATTTTTGCCTTGATGGTTGAACACTGTCACTGTTTTCCTTTTTTGTTGTATCGAGATGCTAATTGAGCATCAAGTGTTACCTACTGAAGTATTAGCATCATCTAAAAAAACTAGAAATATTTTGATTTGATATTCGAGCATCTACTGAGTTTTATTTATATCAACCATTGTCAAACAAATGATCGAACGTTTTTTCGATAGAACTTCCTTCGCACCAAACGTATAATGTAACATATTCAGCATTTTCGAGTTGCTTCTTTTCTTCACACAATTTTGTGATGACCAAATCAATATTTACAATCAACACGTATATCACCTTGGATTGGTGCAGTGTAACTAATACTAAAAATAACTGTATTGTATCTCCAAAATTATCTGCGAAAATCAAGTGAGCCGTCCCATCAATTTTTAATGATTAACAATTTACCATGCTTACAATAACTTTAAAACGTCTGCAAGATCTCAAAGTATTCATTTCTGCAACTCTTGAGTTATTCAATAAAATAAATTGACTGATCCATATATTTTTTTAAGTCACTGTAAAAGCAAATCTAAAAAATTGGTCTAAAGAGTTTAGACAGTATTTCCCTCGCTGTCGGAAACGTGACGACTGCATGTCTATTATGTTTTTTTTTCGCAGTGGATTTCAAAGCATTCGGTTTTGTAGTTCCTGAGTAAACCAATAAAATAAATTTACGCATTCATTATTTTTTTGAGTCACTCGGTATATGCAAATCCAAAAAATATGAATGGAATGATAAATCGCAAGGAGAGACTCATCATATTTTGTACATTTTAGATAGGATTTATTCAGCGAAATTTTGTGGTGATGCCATAATTTTTTTAGGGGGGATGAGCAAATACATTTTGATCAAAAACTTACCAGGCTTATGACAACTTTTAAGAATCATCAAGATTTCAGAGCATTCGGTTTTGTAGTTCCTGAGTAAATCAATA